GGGCAGAAAGCAATTAATTCTCCGCTGACTGAATGAAGGCATGGTCTCCGGCATAAAATGTTTTGACCCTATGTACAAGCTGCTGTGGTGTAGCATTCCGGTTAGACCTCTTTGGCAGTACTGTTTAATGGTACCATTTGTTCCTCTATCTTCTTTTTACAGTGCAACCTCGATATAACGAACCTCTATATAAAGTCCTCGATATAACAAACGATTGTCTTTACATCTTCAGTAGTAGCAAAATATATGAAAAAGAACCTGTATATAACGAAACCTCGTTGTAGCGATCAAATTTTGCTAGTCCCTTAGCCCTTCGTTATATCGAGGTTCCCTGTAGGTGATAAAACTCGGTAGTTTCTTTTGTTCTGAATTTCGTTCTTTGGAAAGCAAAATCATCGATATAAACTTAACTTAAAAGAAAAAAAAAACTTCACATTTTTTTGTCCTTTCATAATCGTCCGTGTACGGCTTCTTTGAACGACGAAATGGAACCTTCCAATGGAAGGTTTTGAGGTACAACAACGTACTAAGAGAGACCCTCTTCGTTTCGCATTGAACGATGTTTGAAACAATTCCTCAGTCTGCTAGCCTGAGAAAACAGCCAACAGCTGCGACGTCACCAATGGTCCATCTGGGAAATGACATCTGAGAAACGAGCGCAGAAGTTCCATACTGATGACGCGTCACTACCCAGATCTGTGTAGTGCTTCTGATTGGTTGAAGCTAATCTTCAGCCAATCAGAAGCACTACCTAGACCTGGCAAGTAACGCGTCATCAGTATGGAGTGTCTGGGCTCGCATCTCAGACGTCCTTCGCAGGGAAACCAGTGGTCGCGTCGTAAAATGTCGGCTGTGTTCTCAGGCTACTTGTCTCCAAATTATGTTTGTTTCTACGGAGAACCTATGTCAACCAGCTAACTGTTTTAGTCCACAAACCATGCTATGATTTCTCAATTACTAAACAAACAAGGCCCCGTGGTTGTTTAAGGTCGATAACCGCTAACCCGGGGTTAAATTTCAATTCGCTTTCCTGTTTCTTTTGTTGAAAAGTGGTTTTTCCGTTAATTTTGACTTCCCCGTTCAAACATCAAAATTTAAGCAAAAGTGAATCCCAAACAGAATTTCATTTATAAGCTTCCAGATTTAAAGTTAAAATTAATTTGGCGCTTGTGCTCGGTTATCCTTGTGCCGCAATCCGGGAAATGTTTGTTTCTGGAATCTGCTGGAATTCAGGTCTACTTATCCAGATTCCCGCTAACGATTGAAATCCGGAATCCCAGTAAAAATCCCAGTTCTACTGACAATGAATCTGGAATCCATTACCTGGAATCTGAAATCCACAGCGTGGAGTACAGAATCCAGGAGTGTCTTGGATTATCTTATCTTATCTTACATGAAGGATTTTGTCGAATATGGGCCAAATTTTAATCGAACATTATCAAGTGATCGACTATTATTTGCTACTCTGAACTTCCGATAATAACAATTAAAGGTCTAATGACTTACTTGGGAAACTGTTGATCATAGAAAGGCCTCTGAAGAATACCAGCGGGAAAAGCTGGAAAGAGAAGAAGAGCCCATTTATGACTGTCTTAGAGAAAACGGTAGTTTTCTCTTTTTAAAAAAAACAAAATTACCTATTCTATAACCTGCGGGCAGGTACAAGCATTGCGCTACAGTTACGCTTACGCTGTGCTTACCGATTTTGTTTTCTATTGATGAATAATAAGCATTCACTGTCGGAGGAGTCATGCCCCATCTAGCAAAAAATAAAAAAAATCGAAAAACAAATAAATGAGTAAACGAGCAAAAAAAGGAAGTAAAACAGCAACTCTACACGTGCTTCAAGCTTTTTTGTAAATGTCGTTGTCATCCCCTGCGTAACAATGACATAAAATGACCAAAGTTTAAGTTTCCTTGAAAACGTAAATGTGCGGCAAGGCGATAATTTTTATTGCTCTACCTACATGAGCTAGGACTCGGTCCTCCCTCTCTGCGTCCACCCGGTAACTTCCAGACGTTTTTAAACGTTTTTAAAAAAGACTACACTAATTTTATAATCTCAAAAAAGTTTAAAAGGACGCGAAGTCCACGTGTCAGTCAAGTTTTCTTTGTAGGATCGGAGAGGTCCCGGACAGCGTCCAGTTAAACTCCTCATATTCTCGGGCATTCAACCGGTGTAGGGACGGAGAAAGCGAGGGAGAAATTTGACTGGGACCAGGAGACTCTCACCTGTCTTTGTTCACAGGCTTTCCAAGCTTGGCGTAGTTCTTCAAGTTAAAATATGTATGTGATTGCAGGACGTTGCTGAAATACTTGCCTTTATCGACTTTAAACTGTTAAGTAAACGAAACAAAGAGGAAAGCATTAAACATAGTAATATATAAAGGATTCTAAAGCCTAGGCCAAACGTCGAACTTTTCACGAGACGAAGAACCAAACTCTAATTTGCGTCGACCTAAATTAACTTAAGATCGTCTGTTAGGTCAGACGTCGAACTTTAGACGCGTCGAACTAACCAACTGAATCAGATTAGTGATAAATTTTTTTTCCCGAACGAGGCTAAATATAGATTATCATACAAATAAAAAAAATTATCAGTTTAGTTCGTCGCACGTGAAGATTGTCCCGGAGAAGATCTTCAGACGTTCTATCAGTCTGGAACAGACTGTTGGAACGTGTTGGACGATCCAAACTCATTTAAACGAACTAAACGGAGCTAGACCTGGAACTTTTCATGAACTCAGCTCACTAACTTTGGTTCGTCTCATGAATAGTACAACGTTTAGCCTAGGACAAAAGGTAGAACGTTTATTTTCTTATTACTTTTTTTTTTCCAGAAATACGGTCGTTTCGATAGGAACTGGAAGTAGTGCATGAAATGTTGCAAAAAACAACAAATTGTTGTTAAAGTCGGCTGTTCAAACTGGGTGATGGTAGGGAAACCCTTCGACGGCCGGGCCAACTTTTCTCATATAAACACTTTTTGGCTCGCCCAGGTGAGTAAACTCGGAAAAGGCGAGACAACCAAAGCATGATGCTGGCTCTAGTAAAGGGGTCAACAACTTTTCTCATATAAACGCTCGCTTAAGTTCACTCGACTGGAAGACTAACCCTATTACCCGGGGTAAGATTTCTCAATATTAACAAGCCTAACTCAGTTAGCTTCAGTTGTCATGCATGTAATCGCGAAGATGAATTTTGTTGCGTTCCACGTTGCACGATCTTGGCAATGCGATCCAGCCCGGTTTTTTTTCCCGTCAAGGGTGTTGATTTTTGCTGCGATTTTATACAAAGTGGTAATGTATGTAGCAGCATTTCTAAAAATGCACCTTCGTAAATTGCTTGTAATTAAAAAAAAATATGGTAATACGTCATGCAATAAAATAAAAAAAAAAGTCCTCGTATTAACGGCCCAAAAAACAGAAATCGTCAAAAGACGGAAACTTACTCCCTTATACATCTCGCTCATTGCAGAACTGTTTTTCAGGTACTCTGGATAGCCGATATTTTCACGTATTGCTTTAGCCTGAAAGAAAAAGAAAATAAAAAATAACTCTAAACTGACAGTGTTCCAAATAAAATACAACCGTAAAAGGGACACAAACAAACAATCAAACATGCAGGAAGAAAATTACAATAGTTTTCAAGCACACACTAAGCAGAATATTGGTAATGATAATGATAATGATGATGATGATGATGAGAATGATGATGATGATGATGATGATGATGATGATGATAATGATAAAGGGCCAAAGGCAAAACTGAAAACTAAAGGTAGAATTTGCCGCGGTTTTCCTACAGCTCTTTTATAGAATACCAACTAAGAACTTTGCTGTTTAAAACTGAACGCCTTATTGCCAGTGCACAGAACCTTTTCTCTTGCTTTCTCCTTTGTGGCGTCATCCATCCATTCCAGTTTATCCAGATTAGCAAGGAAAACCTGTCTAATATCATGGATCATTTCTTCAGCCTACAGACAAGAGAAAGTGGATACGAAGAAATATAATTACGAAAAAACTAGAAACTGAGAATACCGTACTCGTTAGACAGCACACATGAACAGTCAACTACTGATATGAACTGCTTATCTTTTTATTGTTCTACACTAGTGGCGGATCCAGGGAATAAAAACTCCCGAGGCGTATAAAGCAAACCAACTACGCGACGTGAACGTGACGTGAACGACTTACCAAACGCTAAAAGCCATGCAAGAGAGTTACCTCTTCCCACAGGGTAAGCAAGGACAGGCTTGTCCACAGTCCCCCAAGCAAATTAACCCTATAAAATTAAAGTTAACCCTATATGGCTATAAATTTCAGTGACTTCAAAGCCGTGCGTTTAACAATAGGGCCATCAAAATACTTCTCCTTAAAATAATCTGGTAAAATTTTACAGTCGTGGACACGTGTACGTTAACATCGATGTTACCGAGTTTTCATAGCCGTGTTTTTCAAGACTTGTTTTTTTTCCTACAATTATAGCATTTCAATACTAGGCAGTTTCCACCAGTGTTGAGTTTCTCTCGGTATAACACACATGTGGATTTTAGGCACAGATCAATTTTTCTATCACGATAACCTTGATATCCATTGGTTTTGAGAAAAATTGAGTACATTTAATTCATCTAGAACGGCAGATCCAAGCTGACGGATGGTTAAAGCTTCTTCTTTCCTAATGACATCACTGCTATTCCCCACTCCAGAAGCTATAAGGGGAATGGGTACAAGCTTTCGGCGTAACTCTTTCTCAACTTCGTTCCAGGGATTTCCCTCTCCTACTCGGCCCACGGGGCCGAGTAGGAGAGGACCCTGGGAACGAGTGAGGTTGACTATTTCTGGAATCGTTTGGGTGGAAAAACGTTACATATGATTGCGTAATGGTTGCCTTGAATACCATCGACCAATCATAACTGATGCTTGTCCACCCAAACGATCCCAGGAATCACTGCACCTAGCCTGTGTCAGGCTCCCAGGTAGTGCAGTGGGGACGTATTAACCTTTTAAGCCCTAATACACAGGTACAAATTCTCCAAAGTGATCTACGTACATTTCCTTTAAGAATTAGTTGAGAGATCTTAATGAAAGATCAAGGCATTTTCTCTTTGGTGATCATTTTATTAATTCTCATAACTTTATCTCCTGAAAATGTATGGGTAATGTTAGGAGAAATTTTATGTTGGTCACTATTGGGACTTAAAGGGTTAAAACAAGCAGAGCGAAAATAAGACGGGTGCGACTTGACCTGCGAGCAAGCTCTCCTATTTGGGCGAGCGAAGCGAGTCTCGCTCCTCGCTCGCGCGTTCTCGCGAGGCTCGCTCTGCTCGCCCAAATAGGAGAGCTTGCTCGCAGGCTAGGTGCGACTTGGGAAAGGGGCGCTCTTCCCAGCCCCCGCGCGTTTTTCGCATTTCCTTTTTACACCTTTTTACTAAACAACTTTTCACCATTATGTTGGAGCCCGGAACAGGCTACACTGCACCCAAAGCTTGTATCCATTCTCTTTAGAGTTTGTGGAGTAGGGAATTGTTAAAGATGATTAATGTGTAAGCCAATTTCTTAATTTAGCTAGACACCTTACTATTAAGTTTGCTTTTCGATTTGAGAAGAAAATTGATAGAATTTGGATTCTGCCAATAAATTCAACAATATGACGCCATAATGACGTCAAATTACGTCATTTTGTCAATAAAGCCTTCAACCCTCTGATCTCCAACCTCAGGAGAGTAACACTCAGTTCCTACCGATTTCTTGCTTTCTCCCTCAAAGGCTTTGTTCACAAACAGCAAACCGAACGGCATCCCGAATGATCCATCTACCATACCAAGGCAATCCTGCCAGCGGGGATCTTCCCCGGCGACCCCGCTCAGAGATTTACTGTACTCCTGGTAAACGTCTCGAAACTTGAGGCTTAAGGACGAAGCGAAACGTACAACAACTTTCCACATCATGTAGTTTGCGATTATTCTAAGAACAGAACATGGATAGAAAGTGATCACAAGGGGTGTGGATACCTTTAGACGTCCAGCCGTTTTTTCGTAATACAGTTATGTAGTATGATTATTCTTCCAAGTAAAACTCATGTCATCGTTGTTTAATTATCAAGGTTTCGCCTGCCACCGATACATCGAGCAATTTAGAATCCCAGGGGCGTACCTGACTGTAAGCCAGTTAAGCACGGGCTTAAAAGATTTTTGGGTGAATTTTCTTTCGAACGGCCAGATTAAAAAGAGACAATATTTCTTTGTATGTTTTCATATACCAAAAGCGTTTGCCGAGAATCATCGATAGTATGCGGCTCCTCAAGAAAGAGCCCTGCAGTAATCCTATACTGTACTTCTACAGTGTACATTTAAAGTCTATAGACAGGCGTCACAAGACTGTGCACGTGACAAAATCAAGCAACGTACACCACAAGCAGTATACGTTCATTGCCGTAAGGCGCACTCTCTGAACTTGGCCTTCGGCAACGCATGCGAGTAGTTCCTCGTTAGAAATACGTTGAATTCGTTGCAGCCGATCGCCTTCTCGTTTGGCTATTCGGCAAAACGCCTTGTGGCGTTCCAGGAATGCTCTGCTGATAATGATGTTGTCAGAGAGGAAATGCAGAGAAGAACGAAGCTATGCACGTTGTGCGAGACTCTTTTGGCGAGCAGGGCAGATTCTCTGTTCACCCTTCGTACACCATTCAGCGTTGTCGTGCAGGCTTTAGAAAGCCTTCTTTTAGGTGGGGACTGCAATGTAAGGAATTATCTATGCCAAGAGAGGATAAGCTTTCTTGTCTATGCTCAAAACGACAGTTGTGGACAGTTTGACTTCACAACTTGCTCCTGTGCAACACAGCATGTTTTGTGAAAGGTTTGAACCCAGGAATCATTATAAAAGTAGGTTGAGTTTGATCGTCCGGGTGAACGTAGTCCTGAATAGGACTGTTGTTGTTGACGTTTCGACAACCTGTGCGGTGGTCATCTTCAGAGTCAAAGTCAGTTGTATCACGTCAGTTGATGGTATTATACTCTGGTTATTGAACTGATTGGAGAGGAGACGCTTTGAAATTCTTGAATCCGTTCCTTCGGCGTTTGCTTTTTAGCTCGTATGGATAATAGAGTCTTTATATTATCCATGTTTTTCGCAGCAAAGCGTAAGAATATATGGCAGCTTCGCCGCCAAAACTTTCACACGCGCAGAATCACGATTCCACCAGCTATGCAGGCCATAAACATGGCTCAAAACTTCTCTATTGTTGTTGTTTTTTTTTTAATTATATATGTTTCAACAACAAATGTATATATGTATTACCTTTTACTTGTTCTGTTAAAGATAAGAGACATATTCTTGACGTAATCCAGCGCATATGAAACCACCTTTTCCTCCCCTGTTATATTATAACCAGTTTGGTTAAACATTTTCTTCATAAAATCCATTAAGTCAATCTACAAGGCAAGAAATATTCTGATTTATTCAACGAAGATCGCAGAGTGCGAGGTCCAAGTGGTCGGGTTGGACAAGCACTTCGGAGGAGGTCCAGGGCTCGACAGCTTCGTCCACAGGGCTTCGGTGACCGCATTAACGAGGATTTCTTAACAAGAAAATGTATGGTTGTTTTTGCCGGGTGGCCAAAAAAAGTGGCCGTAATAACGAGGTGACCGCATTACCGAGGTGGCCTTAAGGCGGCTTTACACTGTAATAAATTCTATAAGCTTTAATCAAGAAACTGACCTAAAAATCGCCTTTTGCCGATTTTCTCACCTGATTTTACACTAAATAGCCAGATTTGGTTGTTTTATGCTGAAAAGTGGATTTTTATCAAAAAACTTGGTACCTTGCTTAAAACATTTGGATGAACTCCTAAAGAGGTAATTTTCCTGTCAAAAATAGTATTTACTAAAAGGGTAAGGGGTTTGGACATGGAGGGAGCTCCCCATACAAAACTTTGTTGAGTACCCCTCCCCACCGCCGGAACGTTACTAGGGAGTTTAAACAAAGACGACGGTGAGGGCAACGAGAACGGCAAAACGTAATAGGATTAGATTAGCCAAAAAACAACTTTTCACGTGTATCACGCTTTTCTTTGTACATTTTTCGTCGTCGTTGCACGACTACTAGGTGAAAGTGCCTAAATTCGCGTTTTGTAGAGGACGTGAACCCAAGACAACAACTTTCTTTTTCTTTTCCTGACCTTTGACACAGTCCTTTAGAATTCAACTCCAAAAACATTTGCCAACATTTGACAAAGTAAACAAGATAGAATAAGCGCGATAACGTTTGAATCAGCGCGAATACACTTTTTAAGTGACGTTTTCGTAGTCGTCGTCGTCATCGTCGTTATAAAGGTCCCTAACATGTCGCCTGAGACACTTACATCTAGATCAGAGGACTTGATGTACTCGTTAAGTGTCATCTTCTTGTAAAGTTTGTTTGTATCTCGACGTTGTTCACGGGGGATAAAGTTCTGTAGAGGAAAGTAAAAGGTAAGTCAATTAAAAGAGATTACAACTCGAAGGTGGAAAATATGGTTACCCGATTTTTTTTAACGGTTTTACGGTTTCAATACGCCTCAGGGAGATTTAGCTACATTCCATTTCAATTATTCAGTCCACATTGAAAACGTTGCTTCTTTTTTATCTCGGAAAAATGACGAGTTTAACTAAGTTATAGCAGGAGCCTATGATTGGCACCTGGTTACAGCAATTATGAGAAAAAGTCTCTTAACTGTTGGTAGATACCGCTGACCGAGCGTGAACCATGCGGATGTTCCTCTCACATCGCGGTTATTCTTGACTCACTCCCATTCACGGCTTCCTTTGAATTTAACATTTTTAGCTATCCTTTAAGACATTAAACGTTTCCGTCTTTGTAGTTCAAAATTTAAGTACCTCATGCTTCAAAAAGACAACTTGAGAATAGTCATCAACGATGCAATGTAAGAATCATTGGGGCTAAGAATGGACTCAGAAGGATAAAGGGTTTATGGCTCGTGCTCGACAAAATATATGAGACATGTATGTAGACTTACAGTTAGTAAACCGCAACTAAGACGTTATAATTCATTTCGTGCGTTCAGTGTATCGTGCATCTGCATTTGAAAATGCATCCAAAATATCAGAGCCAGAAAGTAAGTTCGAGTTACCTTTGCTAGTGTTTCTTCAAAATCGTAAATCTCCATCATCATGGATTCCGCGTTTGGAACATCACCGAGCAGTTTAACAAGATCTACCATGAGTTTTTTGTACGCCTTGCGGACCTACAAAAATAAAATAAAATATGCCAAGAGCTTCTTGTTATAAGAAACATTTCAAAGCGCGTTTCAGAGAAAAGGAAAACATCTGATTCAAATTGAGAACTTCGCAAATTAAGAAAAGAGCAGATAAAAACTTCCACCCTAATTTTAAGGCGTGAAGCTGACATGAAAATATTTTTTCTTGTGTGAATAGACCTTTTTACCGATACGGCGGCCATATTGAATTAATTCGATTTAAGGAGTATTATAGGATGCCCAGGAGGCATGAGCACATTTCCTTTGTATTTTCGAGCACTTTTCGGGACATTTTTTCTTAAAGTTTTCTTAGAATAAGATTGTAATGGGAAAAAAGATCCTCGTACCGTGTTTGGATGTAATAATGATCGCCTTTTTCTAGTTTAGTATTAGAAATATGATCTTTCACTGTATATTTCTCGGGAAAAAAGGCGATCATTATTACATCCAAACACGGTACGAGGATCTTTTTTCCCATTACAATCTTATTCTAAGAAAACTTTAAGAAAAAATGTCCCGAAAAGTGCTCGAAAATACAAAGGAAATGTGCTCATGCCTCCTGGGCATCCTATAATACTCCTTAAATCGAATTAATTCAATATGGCCGCCGTATCGGTAAAAAGGTCTATTTAATGCACTGCAAACAATAACTAATGGAAAGCTTGGTCACGTGATGCAAGTCCGTTTGCTGCAAACGTGAGTCTAAATCTCTTTTTTTTTTCACGCTCACAAAAAGCAAGGATAGGTGGGAGTATTACTTTAGAACTACGATAGGCCCTTTGCAGCTAGCTATTCACGTGGTACGAAACCGCCACGCTGGGGAGCAAAAGTCGCACTGGGACAAGACAAACAAAAGACATACATAACTTGAAATGGTAATTTTCTTTGTTTGTCTTGTCCCAGTGCGACTTTTTCTCTCCAGCACGGCGGTTTTGTACCACGTGAATGGTTAGCTGAAAAGGGCCTATTCTAGGATATTCCATCAAGCCGAACTTCTAATTCGCGACCATAACGAATTTTCTTTAAATAGCAAAATAGCATAATAGAGCGCTTTCACATGACGTCACGGCGGCCATATTGGTGTTCCAAAACAATGAAACAGCGGACTATGTTAGTGTTCCAAACAAATCCTGTGGGAGTTGAACTCTTTTATTATGCAGTCGCTTTTCTTGTTGCAATAAATTTGCAAAGATGCGGGCCACGTGAGTAATAACGCTCTATGCTCGCAGAAATACTATCCACCTCGGCTTTGCATTATTCATAGATTTTCCGCGCGAATTCCAGCGAAGACTAAGAAGGAGTAGGAGACCACCTCTCATTCAATCCTACCCCAATGTCGCTATTTATTTCCAAGTACAGCCTACAACAAAAAATTAGGGCAGTGTTCATATTCATCTACCTTTCTGTGATAAGAACTGTTCTGTAGAAAAGCTTCGGGGGAAATACCGATTCCAGACTGGTCAAGCTGAAAAAAAAATCAATCACTCAATCAATCAATAACAACTGTTATATATATAAAAAAAATAGTTTAAAAACCAACTTTGGTACACCCCAAGCAAAGGAACGTTTGTTCAAAGTGTTGTATTGCATTAACGGAAAGAGAGCTGAGGAAACAAGTCCTAATTTTGCAAAAGTCTATTAAGCCTTTAGCTTCAACAATATAATAAATCAATACAAAATCTAATTTTTCTCAGTGTTTCGGGAAAATACCATAATCTCTTTAATAGGCAAGTTAAGCTTCGCCTTTCAAGGAGGATCTTAGAGCTAGCTGCGCAGCTAGCGATCAAATTTTCCATAGCCCTTATAATATGCATGTTTACATCAGACGAGCAAATTTCACCACCAAGCCTTGTTTGTACTTGCGCTCTTTGCGAATGGGTATTCTTTCCAACAAGTGTGCCTTGGGGATTTATTTATGAAAAACTTAGCAAATTTACAATTTCAAAACGAAGCTTGGTGGTGAAACCACTTATAGGAACTATTTACGTAATACGCACATTTAATTCGTATCTATCCATCCATTTTCACCCCTAGTAATTTATCAGTTAGGTTCGACACTGTGACAAGTCATTTCATTGGTTACGCGACATTGTTGGCCAGCAACTCCCAAAATTGTTGGATGTTATGTTGCGTCCGTTCGCACACCCTGTTGCATGTTGTTGGATGTTGTTGCAAGCGTGCTATTGGTAATTGTTGGGCAAAGTTTGAAACTGGTCAAACGTTTAGCCATGTGCAAACGGACGCAAGAAGTCCGTACAAAGTTGGGAGTTATTGGGTCCGTTTGCACGAACTACCAAGATAAGCTACGATAACTTACCACAATTATATTTTTAGTAGAGTCTTTTAGATCCGCTGACACGTACATGTTGAAAAGAGGTGCTATTGACAGGTACTTTTGAATCTTAACGAATGTGTCCATGAAATCCCACGAATCTTCCGTCCAGTTTCCATCGGTAACGTTCCATGATCCGTATTCTTTGATAAGTTCAAGTAGGGGAGTAGCATCGAGTTTTTCAATTGTTTCCTCGTCCATGCAAGAATCGAACATGTCGAAACCTTTCATGATTGCTTCGTTCTAAAAGTATGAAATAATCAAGCAGATTTTTTAACCGCCTCCTGGTTATCTCAGACGGGAGAGTGCCGGTCTGCTGAGCAGAAGGTCGCGGGTTCAAACCCCCGGCCGGACCAACACTCAGGGTATTTAAATAACTGAGAAGAAAGTGCTGCATTTTTAATAAAATCTGCAAACGGTTAGATTTTCTAGTCTTCTCTGATAAGGACGAAAATCCGTAGGTCCGGCCTCACAGCACTTTCATTTATCTGGTTCTTGTTAGACGTAAAAGAACCCACACAGCAGATCAAAAAGAGTAAGGGGACGTAGACCCTGTTTGTGTGGCCAACCTCTCCTGGGCTGGGCGGGTTATCTGTAAGGAGAGATCTTATATACGGATGACCTCATAATACTCCTTCAAGTGTCATAATAGCTACCTGTAGACAGATTTTGTCTAAATGTTTATCTCTATTAGCCTGTTTCCCAGACTGTACGTTAGCCTGCGAGCAAGCTCTCCGAGGCGCTCGGGCGGCGGGGCGAAAATGGAAATCAACCAATCAACATTTTGCAGCCATTCTGGGACGCAAATATTCAAATTTATGAGACGCGAGTGCAAGCTCTCCTTCCACTCTCACCTCCCCATTCCTGTACCCCCACGAGCGCAGGGAGAGCTTGCTCTCAGGCAACTAGATTGTGAGCCAACTCTGACCCACTGGAACCTGTAATGGACTACTGGATTATATGGCATCTTTTTTCACAAGCAAAACCGTTTCCTTCCGCCGAATTTTGAATCTTTCACTTTGAGAAGTAGCCAAGGTCAAGATTCAACAAAATTTTCTAATTTCGTTTTTGTAAATAGTCTCCTTCGCAGCCGTTAATAGGGTCGTCACGCGACGCTTCTCCCCACTAGTGTGAAGGAGCGTTGCGTGACGACCCTAATTACGGCTGCGAAGGAGACTATTTTGTAAAATGCTGAAGATTAGATCAAGTGAAAAACGGTTGCTAAAGATTTCATCTGCAGACTCCAAGACTGACTCAAACATTAGATTTACCTTAGACTCACTTATTTCTTCTAGGAGTGAAAAATTTCATGTTACAATTGACCATTTGTAAACATTTCAACATTACAAGAAATAGAATACGAATTCTTGTTTGGAACAGTCCCACCGAAAGACAACAGATGACTACCTTTTCAGACACTCCGTATGTGCATGTTTCTGAAATTTTCGACTGGGATGGCTCAAAAAGACGTGTTTTATTTACTTTCCCGAAGTAATGAGTATGGACTTTCAAAACGGGAGCCATAGTCTTAGTGCATGAAACAAAGACAAGTCAAAGAAACATACAACAACAACAGCAACAGCAACAACAACAGAGAATCAATTTTCATCTACTCACGTCTTTGTATTTCTCTCTTGTTTCCTTGTTGTCCACAATAAGTGATTTCATTACCAGTTCGTTTCTCTGATAGAGCTCTCGAAACTGACTCCAAGATGACTTACTCTCGGGAATATAATTATTTTTCATCCAAGTCCCACAAGCGTACTCGTAGAAGTCATCGCAAGGATCTGCACTCGAGTTCATTGCATTGAGCATATCTGAAAAAAAAAAAGAAGAAGAAGAATGAGAAGAAATAAAAGAAATGGAAATGTGAATACAAGATAAGTGCAAGAAAAAGGCAACATACTCCACGGTTTTAAGTTAATATTAAAGACCTTTAAATTCGAGGACGAAGACTACTAGGAACACAAGATTAAACTTGATTTTTTTCGCGTACTCTCAAACAAACAGATATCCCGGAAAGCTTCATTTTACTCAGTTTTCACCAGGAAAGTTAATACGGTTATTTCTATTCACGGAGGAGGAGGAGGTTAAGCCATCTCCCGTTCGAAAGTGATAAAACTTGTAACCTCATTTGATGACTTGTCTCCGTCACTACGACATATCTCGCGAAAACCCGTTCTAGAAGATGACAGTTGTTACGTTTTCTCGCCAAAATGGCGCGGATTAACGAGCGCACTACTTAATAGAAAACCTCTTCCTCGTCTTAGCATTTAACGGTCTCTATTGTTAAAAAGAGACTGTAATTCAAGTCGCGGGAAAGTTTTATGGACAACGTAAACAAGCAACGACGAAATTTTTATTTCTCTCTTTGAACTTGGATATGGTCCCTTGGAGTTCAACTTCAGGAGGGTTCGCCTACATTTGACAAAGTAAGTGGGTAGAGATAATCACGATAAAGACTGAAAGAGCGCAAATTCACTTCTAAAGCGACATTCTCGTTGCCGACGGGTCGTTGGATCTTAAAGTCGCCTTTTAAAATCCGGAAGGTGAAGAACACAGTGAATCTCCTATATACGCAACTGCGTACCTATGTGTGTCGTCACGCAACCGACAGAGAGAATGGCTGAGTACGACTGAGTGCCGAAAAAAAAACCGCTTGTGTGCAGTCGCACCAACCTTTATCATCATCATTATCAGCAACCCGGATTATTTCACGATCACTAGATTGGGAAAAGGAGGTAAAGGGCTGAGGTAAACTATCACTATCACGAATGCAACTAAATACAAGGAAAATAGAGATACGCTGGAATAAAATTTATAAGGTTTTTCTGAGGTTTTTCCTAGAGGATAAAACATAAGCACCTGACGTTTTCAATAGCTGTTCGTTTACCCCTTGCGCAGATTTTGAGACAAGTTTAGTGATGGTCAGTTGCTAAAAGTATATCATGTGGTTAGAATCATGCAAAGTGCTTAATTATGTGTTATTTTTCATGTAAAACACAAAAAATTACCATTTCTCGCGGTTTTAACATGATTTCTTATTCTTGGTAAAATCCAAGATGGCGGCCAAGATGGTGACCATTTTTGGTGACGTCACAGGCCTCCAGCAGCGCCACCACCCAAAAAATATACCTGATCTTGTCAAGAAGATCAAAGGCTTTCCACTAAAGATAAAATCGTTTCAAAATACTGCAACTTGAACATATTAAAAACTCAGGGGAGGGGTTCTATCCACCCCCATGCCCTTGTACCACGGTGGGGGGTATGAATTTGCGTGTACGTCCGAGGGTTAAAATACTACAAACAAGTAAATATAAAAATATAATAGGTACTAATATTAGAGACATATAACGACATCCTTTTTTCTGTTACGATATTGCTGCCGCATTAGCCTGCGTAGCTGGCGATATTGTCTCGGTGTGCGATTAAGGGAGTGCCGGGTATTTCTGTTTCTCGTGGCTTACGCCGCTCATGACGGCTTCGCTGCCAAATCTCACCCGACTACTATACAATACCGCCACCTAAGCGGACTACTGCCTCATTGATCTGCACGGAATTTTTTCTTAGACTTTTCCGGATTGTTAAGCACGCAGTTGAGCGTGCAACGAGAGATTCAATAAATTGACCTTTAGAACAGATAAGACATTAAAATGAACATGCTGTTTAAAAAAAAAAAGAAAGAAAGAAAAAACTTCCCATGCCTATGGCAGTTTTTGCAAAAAGTGACCAATTCTCTTGTTATTATACATGGTACATGTACTCAATATTTGTCTTCTCGTTAGCTTAGAGCCCCCAGCGCCATCAGCGCAAGCTACAGATTAGTTCGTTACTTTCGGGCGAATACAACGGCCTAATGTAAAGGTTAGACGCCCACAACGCGTGATTAACAAAAGCAATGTTTGTCTTTTTGTTTTCTTCGAAACAATGCAATAAATAATAAAACAATTATTAGAACGGGTTTTCGTGAAATCAAGAGGAATCAAGGACTCAGCCGGCGCAGATAACACTATCCTACACCTTGACTAAAAGTGACTACAACGCCGCCCAAAGGTATTAAGAAATTTTTCCCTTACACTAACCAGGGAAAAGCATACAATAAGCCGGCAAAAGATTTTGGAAAGCTACCAAATACAGAAAAAAAAGCCATGGAACCACTTTATGAAGCCTTAACGGATTAGATAAGTTTTTTGTGATATCCGGAATAATTAAAATGCCTCACAAAACGGTGGGCGTACTATAACATGCGCGTGCGCGTACAGTCATGGAGTATTATATATATGTAAACCACAAGAATGGTCGATATCAAGAATATGCCCGCAATGAGGAGATTTTAAATGACGTTTTACACAATCACCAAAACCGATAACTGCAACAGTAAGCCAACAATTATCTACAAAAGAGCTTTCTGCTACTTTTAATGAGATTTGCACAAAACCCTTAATCTTATAGTTGAAACATTTGCCTGATTCCCTCTAAAAAAAAAATATCGCATATTTATTTCAATATCTACTTATTTGCTCTGCAACCAAACTAAAATAAAACAAAAATTGAGAAATCTGACCCCAGCGGTTTGTGTTATCTCATTTGTAACTATCTTTGGACTTGTAGCTTTGACGAAACAATGCATATAGCTTCAGCAACGTAATTCCGGTAAATGCAAAGGACCAACGTATCGTTTCGAAAACAGTACAATGGAGGCAAGTTTCATCAAATTATGCATTGAATAATGCATCATGTCACGTCACTGAAAAATACGTCAACCAAACTTACTAAGTTTATCCAGTCATGTATTTATAACTTTGGCTTGAAGTCCCGTAAATTACTGAATCATGATTATAATACACTTTACTTTTTCAGACAAGTAAATATACTTCATTTCCATATTTATGACGCTATTAACAAATTACTTTAAACATTAAATAAAATATAATCATTCGAATAGACATTTGCTTCTTATAGAAATAGAGAAGAGTCGCACAAAAATCGGTCATAAAAAAACTGATAACTATCTCCTATTTGTTTTAGTCCAAAGAAGGCAAATCGAAATAAAAAAGTAGCTTTGATAACTAACGAAGCACTGATTTATCATCAAACGAACAAAATTAAAACTATGGTTACAGTTAATGAAATCAAAATCATTTAAAGATGTTAGAGTATTTCGTTGATGAAATTCTGCGGGAAACGTATCCAAAAAAAAGTGTCAGTGTCACCCCGAAAAAGCAGCAATAGAAAATTTAAAAGCAGAAGAAAACGTGACTGGTCATTGTGGTCTAATATGGGTTAGTTTTTTCTGAATTGTACGTTTATATTTGTACAACAGTTATGTAAATTAATTGATAACCATGTTCGTAATATAACTGTTTTAAAAGGTAAAATAAATCACTGGACCAGGTCAAACACGCAGTTATTGATATAACTCAGTAGACGCCAAAGCTGTCATCAGCTAATGCGTATTTACAACCGCGGCTGAACCTTTCAAAAGTCGCGGTATATCTGAACAAACAAAACTGTTAACGAAATAAAACTTACTTATAGCTGACAAACTTACCTGATGCTAAATTAATCCATGATTTACTAGGTTGGTGTTCGGAAATACGGATCAGTCTACTTCTTGCTTGGTTCGCATGTGCGAACAACGCGATAAAAATAATCAACAAAATGGCAAGGAAAACAATCCCCACGATCATCCATTTCTCCCGCTTTGTTAATTTCGAGGACGGCGGAGGCAATGGTTTAACGCTCGTTGGCTGAAGTTCAACCTCTTCGAAATAAATTGAACGATGGACATTTCGAATAAAGACTGGCGATTCATCGCCGCACTTCTTGTTTGGAAGATGGTTAGCGTTTATCAGGTCATCTAGCTCAGCTTTGCGAGTATTCCGATGCATAGCTTGCAATAAAGATGCAGTTTCCTTGGGCAGTCGCTAAACTTATACACTGGTCGAATCCACAGTTCTACGCGGTCAGCTTCAAGACGTTATCCTCTTGCCAATTGCCTCTGTTAGGGACGTTCGCGTAATTGACTAAATATTAGCTCAAAGTCATATCGCTACATCCAGGACTGAGAGAACAAAACAGAGACCGCTCGCTACCTGTTATATGCAAATCTGTTTTACCGGGATGCTGACTGCAAACAAAGGAAATTAGCGACCTCTAGTTAAAACTTCCACGTCTTTTGTCGTTCGGCTTTGAATAGACGACGAGCGAACATCACTTAACTACAGCATCATATACATGCATACAAATCGATTAAGTCTCGTGCTCTCGTAACTGATTCGCGTTCTTAATCGCTCCTTTCGAAAATTCCTCTAACCCTGTCTGGTTTTCTAAACTGTACTTCTTTTGTTTCTTTCTTTCTCTCCTTTAGCCTTCTTCTTTCCGTTCTTTCGTATTTGTTTTGTTTTTCTTTTTTTTTAAGAAGGCATTGAGCGACAACAGCGGCATTTGCCTTTTAAATGGCCAACGTAAAAATTTACATTAAATTCTCCCACTGTCAATACAAAAAAATATAGCTGACGCGGTCAAGCAGTACTTCCTTTGTTGACATCTCCACAGGTCACCTGAGTTTACTCTGTTATCATGTTATTTTCCTGTCTTGTGCGGTAGTGCGAGTCCATAACGACTTTTACGTCACGACAAGAGCTTTTCACGCAGGTAACCCAAGCGTCCATTGAGCTATCGGCGTAATACCCTTGCAAAAAATCTCATCAGCTCATCAACCCGTTACTGCATATCAGAGACGGCGGGCAGGAGGGGGAAAGACAGCAAGACTCCCCCCTATAAACTCAATCATTTGGAGAAACATTCCGACGTCCCTGAACTCTTATTAAGTATCCACCATGTACCATTCGAGCCAAAAAAAGTGTCTAAGCCAACAAGAGCAGAGCAAGATTAGCAGGAGTCAAGTTAATAAAAATTTACAAGTGTAATTTGCAAGTGTGGCCATTGTTTTACAGTCTGAAAACAATAGCTACGCTTGAAAATTACACTTATAAAAGTTCTATTTATAATATTGACCCTTGCACCGTGGTGGATGAGATAAATTTAAAGTGTCAAGCGGAATTAAGGAGTCTTAATCGAGAAGCTTGACTGCTAACTATTGGTAAGTCCGGCGTTTGTGAATACTATTGAGCGATATTTAGCCGATCGATGGACACATGCGGTGGGTGATTGGCTCTGCAAAAAAGGACTTTATCGGCCACCCTGGTGAATCTTCCTGTCGAAGGAGCTGAATGGAATCCCTCTAGTAGAAAGAGTTAGCATGTTGACCTAGAAGTAACCATGAACAGAGAGCGCGCGCCGTTGAGTGGGGGAAAACTCCAGCTGTTTATTTAAAAAAAAATTCATTGAAATCTAGGTATCCTTAAGCCTACAGTATTCAGACTGAAAAGAATATTGTTTGAGCACACACACACGAAGCGAGCTCAACCTTGTGGTAGAAAGCAAATACTGGACATAAATAATTAGCAGATTCGAACGAATGGTCAATTCGTGCGTGGAAAATGTGCATGTCGTAAACAGCTAGTATACAGTGTCAAGAGCCATTATGGCTCTTGACAGTGTAGATCTTGCAGAATTTCAAGAATGGCAAACCATATTTACAATCCTTTCGCAAAATATAATGTCCACGGTTTAAAAGAAATCGGTCAAAACATTTAATTGCTTCCCATCTGAGAAAAAAAAATTGGCTTTTATGATGGAGGTGAGCGTTTTTTTCTATCTGTAGTATTCTAGCTGTCTTGTTCTTTCAGCCTAATTTAATTGTTACGTTCCCAGTAAAGACTCAGGGGCACCCAACGAGGATATACTTCAAAACCACTTAACATAGCATTGTTGAACGTATTTTAGTATTTAAACGGTAGATATAGGCATATTTTTATCCCCTAAAAACTTTTCATCTGTTCGGATTTCCTAGCTGAAAGTCTAGTGATCCGAAAATTATAGGGATAAAAACTTACCTTCTCGAAAATTTCAGCCAGAAAAAGGCTCCCGAAAATTCTAGGTGGCCTTTTTTAGGGTCAAAATCCGTTAAAAATGGGTAATTATACCATTTTGTAGATGTTAGAAAATCCTAGGAGAGGCAGGCAAGCAAGAAATTTTACAACAAATGCTCCGAAAATTCTAGATCTCAAATCGTCTTCCGAACAGATATTTTCCCGAAAACTGCCGTTGGGTGCCCCTGAAGACGTTACCGCTATTTGACTTGGCACCCGAGCTACGCAAAGGTTTAGCAGTCATTTCAAGACCCCGGAAAAAAAAGACTCTTTTTGGCAAATTAGACCTACTGATTTTTCTTGGCCGTTCTCGTTGCCGTCGCCGTTTAGCATGAAACGATTTATTTATTTATTTATTTTTGTTTGAGTAAACTACACAGTTTATTAACGCCGGAGAGCTTCGCTTTCAGCCCTGGTTAGATCTATATATTTTCCTGTGTATCGAAGCATCTGCCAGTGTGACTATCGCGTTCAGTTTTTAAGTTATAAGAAACGATTATCTCAAGGTGTTGCTGGAGAATCATAGGGTACTAAGTTAAATGACGAAACAAGAAACCTGGGACAATTTACCTCATTTATCCGACACTTACTTAAAAAGCCCTGGTTGAATAGTATGCAAATTTTGGTAAGGTCGGTCTTACGAAAAAAAAAACATATTAATGGTGTTAGCTGTTTTCTCTGTGCATTTTCACTCAGATCTCTCATTGATGCGACTAATCAAATGTATATAATCATATTCTGTAAATGAATCCGGCTGCCACAATGAAAAACGGTTATCACAGTAGCATTTTGTGACCAAGGTCAAAACCTTGTCGATTCATTAAAATTTAATAAATTATAAGGAATTCAAAATAAAATAACACAAATCTGGATCCATATTTGATTATATAGTTCACGCAAGTTCTGCGGGCAAAGTTTTAGTGTATTTGAAAGCTGATAATTTTATCATCCAAAGAATTGCGTTTTCACTGGATGCCAGATTTGCCCATGAAAATCACGATGAGCCATTTTCGCAAAACGTACCAGATTAAAAGAAATATAAGTCTGTGGTAACCCAACATTTTCCCGCTATACATATTTCAAATGAAAATAACATAAACTGCACACGGAATATTTTATCAAGCTCGATTAATAACTTACCTAGTGCTGCTTGCTCTGCAACTTCATTTGAGCAAGAGGTTTTATTTTTAGCTTTCAAGTCACAGGTTTTTTTAGCTTCATTTTGCTTCTTTCCTTCGCCACCTTCACCGTCGTTTGAGCCTTTACAATTCCAATTTCCATTTTCTTTAGAAGCACTGTCGTTTTCTACGTGTTTACGCTGTTTTTCCGAAAAGTATAAACCCGCGAAAATTGCACAAGCAAAGCACAAAATAACGATGCAAGCGAGAAAGATTTTCTCCAGTTTCGACATGCCATTTCGCGGGCAGCGATAGACGATTGCTTCGGCATCGACGTTGTTGCTTTCTGTAAGGTCGATTCCATTTTCTGCCCTACAGTACTTAACACGATGATCAGACATTTTTAAAGCAACTACGGTATTCAACTACAAGTTGCATTGAAGAAAATATCCTTCCCTTGCATTAAACCTTAACCGACAACAAACAGCCTTTGCAATGGGGTCTATAAGGTGTACGCCTCAAATTGCGATTATGTAAAAGTATTTTTCATGTTCGCACAAAGAAATACATTGCTGGGTTGTAATTATTAGCCTTTGACGCCTTAAAATGGCCTCCAAGTGATTTTTCTAATTTATTCTTTTCTGGCGCGAACTTAACCATGAAAGAGGGTCGTACAGGGGGGGTCTCTCGCACGGTTCACGAACAGAAAAAACAGCGAATCACGGATCACGGCTATCAAAATTTCATTTTCCCGAATCACGAAAATAAACAAGTAAGGTACTCGTTTTAATAACCTTCTCTTACGGTAGAAAGAGTGTTTGAAGAAAGAAAAATCGTTAAAGGCTAAGTAAAGGCTGCTTATCGGAAATCACATACCTAAATCACTCTCGATGGACGACTCTGACCATTCGTCCACNTTTGATTATATAGTTCACGCAAGTTCTGCGGGCAAAGTTTTAGTGTATTTGAAAGCTGATAATTTTATCATCCAAAGAATTGCGTTTTCACTGGATGCCAGATTTGCCCATGAAAATCACGATGAGCCATTTTCGCAAAACGTACCAGATTAAAAGAAATATAAGTCTGTGGTAACCCAATATTTTCCCGCTATACATGTTTCAAATGAAAATAACATAAACTGCACACGGAATATTTTATCAAGCTCGATTAATAACTTACCTAGTGCTGCTTGCTCTGCAACTTCATTTGAGCAAGAGGTTTTATTTTTAGCTTTCAAATCACAGCTTTTTTTAGCTTCATTTTGCTTCTTTCCTTCGCCACCTTCACCGTCGTTTGAGCCTTTACAATTCCAATTTCCATTTTCTTTAGAAGCACTGTCGTTTTCTACGTGTTTACGCTGTTTTTCCGAAAAGTATAAACCCGCGAAAATTGCACAAGCAAAGCACAAAATAACGATGCAAGCGAGAAAGATTTTCTCCAGTTTCGACATGCCATTTCGCGGGCAGCGATAGACGATTGCTTCGGCATCGACGTTGTTGCTTTCTGTAAGGTCGATTCCATTTTCTGCCCTACAGTACTTAACACGATGATCAGACATTTTTAAAGCAACTACGGTATTCAACTACAAGTTGCATTGAAGAAAATATCCTTCCCTTGCATTAAACCTTAACCGACAACAAACAGCCTTTGCAATGGGGTCTATAAGGTGTACGCCTCAAATCGCGATTATGTAAAAGTATTTTTCATGTTCGCACAAAGAAATACATTGCTGGGTTGTAATTATTAGCCTTTGACGCCTTAAAATGGCCTCCAAGTGATTTTTCTAATTTATTCTTTTCTGGCGCGAACTTAACCATGAAAGAATAATTAAGGTTTTTTACCGCCATGGTTTGTGAATAACTTTGAAGAAAGTTATACATATCGCCTTCTGTTTCTCAATACCCTCAGTGTACCCTCGACAGTAAAAATAGCTTTAAATAACAGATATAATTACGACTAAAAAATAAAAACAGGTAAGAAAGCCGCGAATGTTAAATTACTTATAAACTAGATAGCATGTGGACACAGCGGCGTTTTCTCTCGACCCAGATTTGTTTGGGGCCATGGGTTCGTAACTACTAAAAGAGGCCGGAATCTGTTGAACAAAGAAAATCATTAAACTAATTTAACAACGCTCTAATATACTATAACTTTCATAACTTGACCAGATATGCCATATAATCCTTTTTAAAGAGCATTTCAGTCCGGACCTGTACTATATCTTACCCGGGGTAAGCCCGGGTGAAGTTCACAATTGTCCAAAAAAAAAATTGGAGTTTCCTATTTTATAGTCACATTTTTAAGTTTGTTAGCGTACACCAAAACATTGAGGAAGGCTAAGAACAAGTTTTTGGAAGACGCTTGTTGCCTCCTTATCCTCGAAATTCGCAAAGCGGAGTGTGTTCTAGAACTCCGAGGGCGGAAATCGGAAGTCGGAAGTTGCAGAAGTACACACTATGTTTTTTCTTCTCTTTTCGCCTTATTAAACTTCGCCTTGTCAATAAAAATCATTTTGGGGGCATTAAAAAAAATGATCAGTTACAATATCAAAAGTTCATAAACTGGCCAAATTCAGAAGTTGCCAATGACCACCGTTTGAGTTATCGCTAAAGGTAGAGGTGGTAGAGGTAAAGGCTCTTTATGTTATGTCGGGAGCTTGAAATAAACCTCGGTGCGCTCATTTGATCCCCCCCTCTTAACCAGGGAAGAAGTCGAATGAGGGATTTGAGGTCACATCAAGAGAGTCGATTTCTGGGCGTCAAGCCAAAAAAGCCGCGTGCTAACCAACTCTGCTTAATCGTCGCTGATTTTAGGAACCTCGTAACTAAAAGACGATCGAACGTCAGACTAACAAAAAAAGTATTTACCGTGTGACACGAAATATTTTGGGGTTCTGATTTTTGCGTTTTTTGTGACTTTTCCAGCGATCCGCAAAAGTACGTTCCCGCAAATAAAAATTACCGCAAACATTTTTCCCTCAAAAGTTTACTCCAGAGTAAATATTCTCCAACTTAAATTCGCTACACAAAAATACAATACTAAGAAATCGTGTCTGTTCAATCACAACTTCTCTTTCATTCGGAAACAAAACGTAAAACGGTATACAACGAAAGACAGGTTTATTGTTTGAAAATATGTATTTCTAATGCGCGTACTCAATAAAAACGAAAATATTATCAATGCTGAATACTGGGTACTTTCTGAAAATCGCTAAAATTAATTCCCAGCAAGAAAAACCAATCTGTCCTAATCGCAAAAATTAGTTCCCTTAAAACTAAAAAATCGCCAATCCGCAGAAATTACCGTAATTCCCGCAAAAAGTTCGTGCTACACAGTAACTGAATCGTCTGAACCGCCTTAAAAAAATTCAATGTGAAAATGAAATAAGATAATTTGAGCACTCAAACCGAGATCAAACCGAACATGTTCGAATAAAATAGTTCTGCCACATACTAATGAGAGCCCCCGTTAGTTTTAAGTGACTGGTTCTTCCCCGGCTCCCTTCCCGGGTGAAAACTATCAATGAAAGAGCCGACAATCGAATCATGTGGGTGTGCAGTGTAATTATGATTTTTGACGCCGGGTGTCCCTCTGAAACTTAAAACGACACCCAACTTACCTGAAGCTATTAGAACACAGAGCGGCTCCATGCAAACCGACGTCGCTGGCGGACCTGATTTGTTTGTGTTCGGAGCATGTGTAGTTCCTTCACTTGAAGCCGATGAACTGCCGGGCTTAGCGGGCTTCTTTGAAACTTGCACAGCGTAAAGAACAGCGAACACTATTGCAACAATAACGAATACTAATAAAGCTGCAAAGAGGCATTTCTCCCTGCGAGAGTGTCTCCTTGAGAACGACAACTTGCTGCTGCTTTCTTGGTCGAAATGGAAATGAAAAGGTTCTCCGTAATCAACTTTCTTGATGTATTTTGCAGAAGACATATCGTCACTCAACGCTTATGTAATTAAAATGCAGAACATGCACAAAGATCCGGGAGGTGAGTCTCCGGACGCTGTTGTACCAGGCGCAAAACAAAGCCAAGTCACGTAACGAAAGTTGATACATTCAAGGTAACGTGCGTCGCGCAGTTATTAAACCCTTTCTTAAGTTGGTGTCATAAAAAGCCAATATGCGCTTCTGGTCAACCTCGTTTCCAGGGTTCTCTCCTACCCGCCCTACGGAGAGGGTAGGAGAGAACCCTGGAAACCACTGGTTTTACGAGTTAAATTCAAAGTTAATATGACCAGAAGGCGGATGCTGAGTTTAATTTTCAACTTGTTTATTTGTCTCGGTCTCCATGTTTTGCATACTTTTTTGTTTCCTAAGCATTCTTTTATACTCAGATTAAGGTTTCTATCAAAAATTCCTCGATTTATACGGGTTTTAAGTAAAAAGGAATACATTTACATAAATCAAAACGGCGGAAGCAAGATGGCGAATGCTTCTTGTTCCATTTTTAGTAATGAACGACATCGTCATGACATCACTGTTATTGTTAAAGGTTATCTAACTTCTTGACTTCTTGATTTTATCAAACTCCTTACTATTTAAGTATTGTACTTGGCCTGGTGAGACTTGGATCCTGGCCAAATAAATTCAACATTATGACGTCATGATGACTTCAGATTACGTCATTGTTGTTCCAAGCACGTTGTGCCCGGAAGTTGGAAATGATAAGCATACTCTTCTGTAAAATTTAGGTAGCAGTAGCATGAGCAGTTTTGAAGCTATAGAGGGGTGCCTCTGGACCCCTTCCCCTCTCCTCCCGGTCGCAGGAAGCGAAAAAAAAGACCGGTCTGAATAGGATAAGGCCGTTGTTCATCCTAGGCTTATCAGATACTAGTACATCTGTCATGTCATGCGACCTGTTTTACTTTGTTTCGCTAACACATGGACACACAACATTTCAGTTAAAGCCCTGGGTCGGAACCACGAAAGCGATCGCAAAAAATTATAATAGTAATAATGATAATAATTAAAGAATATCTGGACCTTTGAAACAAACGCATGCCGGCAAAATGTACTGTTACATGCTAGTAATGAAAGGTATTTAAAAAAAACTAACAACTGTCAGAGACGTTATTATAATTATAATTACGACGGATTAATCGGATGTCTTTGTTTCGCTCTGTTTGTTTAGTTTTGTTGGTTAGTTTTTGTTTTTATTATTATTTTTTTTATGGATGAGCAAAAGATAAGAATAAAGCCAGCTAAAACCCTCGGTCGGAACCACGAAAAGCGATCGCAAAAATTATAATAGTAATAATGATAATAATTAAAGAATATCTGGACCTTTGAAACAAACGCATGCCAGCAAAATGTACTGTTACATGGTAGTAATTAAAGAAAGGTATTTAAAAAACTAACAACTAACAAAAACTAACCAACAAAACTAAACAAACAGAGCTGAACAAGGACATTCGATTAATCCGCCGTAATTATAATTATAATAACGTCTCTGACAGCTGTTAGTTTTTAAATACCTTTAATTACTGCCATATAACAGTACAATTTGCTGGCATGCGTTTGTTTCAAAGGTCCAGGTATTCTTTAATTATTATCATTATTGCTATTACAATTTTTTGCGATCGCTTTTCGTGGTTCCGACCGAGGGCTTTAACTGGCTTTATTCTTATCTTTTGCTCAAAAATTTTTCTCATCCATAAACAAAAAAAACTAACAAAAACTAACCAAACAAACAGAGCGGAACAACGACATTCGATTAATCCCCATTTTTTTTATGGATGAGGAAAAGTTTTGAGCTAGAGATAAGACGTTATCATGCCTCTTGCACTTTGGTATTCGAAATTCGTCTCTCATGATATGAATGTCACGATATAAAATCAATGACGCTGAAAATTAGATCCGTAGTGTAAATAAACGGTCTTTCCTTTGGAAATCAGGTCATGTTCAATTAACAGTTTGCCAAAATTTTGATGCTTCGATGGACATGCACCTCACAGGATATTTTTTCGGGTATCGATAGAAATTCATCGTTTTAATACAAGATGCAAACTATCTTCAACTCGGATCCAAATAATTTTGAATAGATAAACTTATAATTAAACTAACCTGAGGCGGTCAAAATACAATGGGGCTCGAAACAAGCCGTTGTCTTGCTTGTGATAGGCGCCCACGTACTTCGTTCGTTAGCTGTAGCTGATGAATCACCCCCTCTGGTCTTTGAAACTTGCGTGGCGTAAAGAACAATAAACACAATTGCAACCGTAACAAACACTACTACAGTTGCGAAGAGACACTTCTCTATCCGAGAGTGCTTTTTTGCGAACGAGACTTCGCCGCATTCGTTTTCAATGTCGACCCTGAAGGCATGACCTGCGCTTTCTCCATAATCGACTTTCTTGACGTATTTTCCCGAAGCCATATGGTGATTTTAAACTACAACTTAACGGCTTCGTGACAAGAATAGTGATGAATCCGAGTTCCAAGCTACGAGCCGCCGAGTTTGAAACCAAGTTAGGGACCGAAAGTGGGAGTCTATAATACTAGTGGGCGCGACTTAATATAGTCGAATATGCAAGTGTTTCTGTTGGCCAATTAACGAATGACGTCAAATGAGATTTGAATAATAATAATAATCGTGGTGACTCAACCAGGGCTGAGTAGTTTAGAGTCAAGTTAAGACTAAACCCAGGGATACTACAAAATTTGAATTTAAATATGAAAGCTTTAAAAGGAATGACGAAAATCATCCGAGAAAATGCTTTTGAGCAACTGAGAAAAAGAAACCCGCATTGAAATTTAGCCCGGGGTTAGCGCTAATTGACAAAACTGGGCCCTGGATGTAGCCTCTTCCCAGTGTTTTTCATATGTTGCAGTATTTTGAAACGATTTTACCTTTAGTGGAAAGCCTTTGATCTTCTTAACAAGATGAGGTATATTTTAGGGGTGGTGGCGCTGCTGGAGGCCTGTGCTTTATATGAAAAATAACACATAAACAAAACTTTGTATGATTTTAGCCACAGGATTTTTTTGATTGTTGAAAAAAGTTGAAAAAACATGTATTTTCACCCAAAATTGGCTTGACCACCTGCTACTTATGACATCATATCTCGTAAGCATAGCAACTGACCGACATTAAACTTAGCTCAAAATGTGCGCGAAGGATGAACGAACAGCTACTGAAAACGTCAGGTACTGATGGTTTATCCTTTAGAAAAAAAAACTCAGAAAAACATACTTCTGAGTTGCAACTTCCGTCTGACCTCAGACGTTACAGCTTTCGACTTCCAAATTCCGACTTCTGAGTTCTGAGTTTCGACTTCCTACTTCCGCCAACGTAGAAAGGTGTAACTTCCTCCCCAGTGTCTTCACGTTTTCCAACGTGGCGGTGGCAAACGAGAAGACCCTGGAAATGAGGTGAATAAAGGAGCTGGCAAGCCTGACTCACATTTTTCCCAACAAGTTTTTAGCCTTGAGTTTCTTAAAGTTTTGCTTTTACGAGTATAGCATCTAAAGGAAGTCCTCGCTTTTATAATATAATTGTTCGTAGAGGAGTTTTCTGGGTTCTCTATCAGTTGAAATTTTATGCTTTTAAAGCTAGGAACTGATGGTTGGTATTTTGGTATTTATGCGTGTTAAATGGCAAAATGTATTATTTATTATTTATTTTGTAAGTGCTTATTCTTTATATACAGAGAGTTTGATTAATCTTATTATTTTTTTGGATTGTTCCTCCCAGTTTCTCTCGAAAGTGCTTTCAGGAAATCAGTCTTCAGGCCAGTTTTGAATTTTTGTTCGTAGAAGCCGTTTACAAAGCCTTTCCTGACCCCTACTGGGTGGCAAATGTTGTGTCTTTAAAACCATATCATTATTAATAAAAGAAGGAAAAGAAAAAATCAAACCCGTCCGGTCTTGCTCTCGGAGAAGGTGACCGCGACCGCTTTAAGGCGTTAACCGCCTAATACAGATCAGTTTCGACAGTAATTTTAATCAATTACTGTAAAATCATTTCCTTAATTAAGGAAATGATTTTTGGGACTTTGGCAAGTGACCGCAAAAATAGAGGTCTGCCAGTACAGGTTTGATTTTATTATACATATACAAATATATTCCTCTGCCCTATAATGCCTTAATGCAAGCGTCGGTGATGAATAAATCGATTTGTCCCATAAAATAACAAGACACTACATCAGGTAGTAAACCCCAATTTAGTTTTTACTGCCACACGACCGAATTACTTAATATAACTAGCCATCTCAAGTAGCACCATGACCTTGAACTTCATGGAACATTCGAACATCGCCTGAAGGCCATGATTTTATATTTCTTCCTGGCGCGAACTTGTCATCGAAACGTTCCCTTTGGTCCACAACTCAGTTTACCGACAATTGCTGAGGCCCATTGCGTAACGTACTGCGTTGAGCGTAAATATACACCGAAAAAACCGGAACGATGTTATTTGAAAAAAAAAAAAATAAAATAAAAATAAAAAATAAACCAGCGCTATAAGTGTATCAGATAGACTCTCTCTCTCTCTTTTTCATTCTGTAACCCGATCATGATTAATTTTTGATATTGGGTTAACAAAGATGATCGTCCCAGAGTGATCGGGAACATGTCCTTGCAATAATACGTCTCACTACTGACATTATTAATCTTTTCTACCACAGAAGGTTGTAGCTAATATTAATGAAGCAAGTTCTGCAAGTTACTTGTGATGGATAGCTAACGAAGTTATCCAATTGAAATATTGAAGATAAAAGAATATTATCAGCATTAATGAAGCAAGTTAGTTAAATGGATAGCTAACGAAGTTATGGAATGCAAATTATTAAAAAAAAACTGAAGGTGGAGTTTCACAGTTTGATTAAAAGAAACGGTACGTTTGTAGCGGTAATTTTTTTTTTATATTAGATAACAAATACAACAGGCGTAACGAAAGCAATCTTAAGGACTTCAACGAACCGCGGTTTTAAGATAAGCAAGAAGAAGAACCAGGATATGACCAAATCATTAAATTTAAAGTGTTATGTAAGTACACAAGTATAGCTATAATTAGCAAATCAAGATAAACCGATCCTGCGCGAGCTTACCTCTCGCTAAGCGCACTCGACTCCACCTTCTTTTGCAATGGTCGTCACATTTTCTTTTATGCTCGTGTTTGTGCCGGTGGTCTTTTTGCTTTGTTCTCCCAGCCTTTTTGACGTGCCTTGCTGATGTTAGGCCAAAGAGAAACAGTATCGCTAAAGTAAGCAGCAATAATCGAAGTATGTTTCTCCTCGAAGACAAATCCATTTTCAGAGTGCAGTCCTAAATGGCTGTCAGGATTGCAGCAACAACAAAGTTAGAGATCGAAATGATGGCTTGATTTTTCGGAGCTGGGTACGAGAAGNAAAATAAAAATAAAAAATAAACCAGCGCTATAAGTGTATCAGATAGACTCTCTCTCTCTCTTTTTCATTCTGTAACCCGATCATGATTAATTTTTGATATTGGGTTAACAAAGATGATCGTCCCAGAGTGATCGGGAACATGTCCTTGCAATAATACGTCTCACTACTGACATTATTAATCTTTTCTACCACAGAAGGTTGTAGCTAATATTAATGAAGCAAGTTCTGCAAGTTACTTGTGATGGATAGCTAACGAAGTTATCCAATTGAAATATTGAAGATAAAAGAATATTATCAGCATTAATGAAGCAAGTTAGTTAAATGGATAGCTAACGAAGTTATGGAATGCAAATTATTAAAAAAAAACTGAAGGTGGAGTTTCACAGTTTGATTAAAAGAAACGGTACGTTTGTAGCGGTAATTTTTTTTTTATATTAGATAACAAATACAACAGGCGTAACGAAAGCAATCTTAAGGACTTCAACGAACCGCGGTTTTAAGATAAGCAAGAAGAAGAACCAGGATATGACCAAATCATTAAATTTAAAGTGTTATGTAAGTACACAAGTATAGCTATAATTAGCAAATCAAGATAAACCGATCCTGCGCGAGCTTACCTCTCGCTAAGCGCACTCGACTCCACCTTCTTTTGCAATGGTCGTCACATTTTCTTTTATGCTCGTGTTTGTGCCGGTGGTCTTTTTGCTTTGTTCTCCCAGCCTTTTTGACGTGCCTTGCTGATGTTAGGCCAAAGAGAAACAGTATCGCTAAAGTAAGCAGCAATAATCGAAGTATGTTTCTCCTCGAAGACAAATCCATTTTCAGAGTGCAGTCCTAAATGGCTGTCAGGATTGCAGCAACAACAAAGTTAGAGATCGAAATGATGGCTTGATTTTTCGGAGCTGGGTACGAGAAGTAGCGTAGGTAATAATTCATTACATTTCATCACTTAGTCGCGTCATAATGAAATGGAATTTCCTTGTAATCTAGAAGTTGATTGGAATTCTTTTCCTATGAAAGCTCACATAGGATTTCTAAGTTTTATATAACGCTGACTCAAGAAATAATATTAATACTTGTTGTTTTTCAAGAAAGTTGAAACACTGGTATACATTTATTCAGTTATCCTTTCCTCATCATTCCTTAAGGTGTATAAAAATAGGTGTTACAAATAGCCATGGCAACAGACTTCGCCAGTTCCACGCGCGCACGTGTTAATAGATTAGGGCAGAAGCCCATCAAGTGATGGGCTCCTGATTAGGGAGCTTAAGCATTGATGACTGGCGACGGCAAAGAGAAGGGCAAAAAGCAATAGGTTTGGATTGGCAAAATAAACAACTCTGCATGTGCATCACGTTTTTTTTGTACATTTCTTTACCGTCGTTGCACGACTACGACGTGAAAATACCTAATTTCACGTTTTCTGGAGGACGTGAACACAAAACAACGACTTCCTTTTTCTTTTCCTGAACAATGATACAGTNCGCGTGGGCGGAGCCCCATAGCTAAGGAAATGTGGTAATCTACCCATCCCAGAAAATTTGGTAATCACGTGACCGTACACCGAGCGAGCGAGCGAGCGAGCGACCGTCCGTCCGCACCACAGGCATACCAATGTAAAATAATTCAATCAACAGGTATGGGAACCCAAATGCAACTCAAGGTTTTATTTGGAAGGAAATCACATGGCCGCCCGGACTTTTAGAAAGAAAAAAGTCGTGTCTTTTTCGGCGTTATTTTTTATGAGTACACTAAGGTGGATAACAGAGAAAGAGCTAGAGCGAGTTACTGAAAATTCGTTGGAAGAAAAACATGGAAATTGAAAGCGGCGGTGAGAAAATGAGAAATGCTAGCGGCCAGCATGCCAAGATGAAAATGAGCGGCAGTGAAAAATAAAAGCGAACATGAACACTGGAAACAAAATATTGGGTAAGCACATACGACAATTTCTCCATAAAAATAGTGTGTAACTAGGAAGTTTGACGTTTTAGTCGTACAAAACAGTGTTGTAGTCGTGCAAAACAACGGC